GAGGACGCGCGTCAGGCAGCCTCGCTCGAGGAGTACGTCAGCAGGCCCGAGTCTTTCTGGCAGTGGGAGCTGCCGCCGTGGTGGACGCCGATCAACCAGCTCCTAGGGGCCAAAGAGTCTGAAACCTGGACGGGCCACCACAAAGGCTGCCTGAGGCGATTGGCGTCGCTGGCCAGCTGGCCCCAGGCCCGTCTGGCGAGGCATGGGCGTGAGATAGACCCGCTCTGCAAGCTCTGCGGCGCCGCCCCTGGGACGATGCACCACAGACACCATGTGTGCCCAGCTTGGGCGGCCTGGAGGAGGGACTATTGCCCATGCCAGGTGAGTCAGGCAGCAGTGCAGGCCCACCGCATGGGGCCCCCCTTCGACGAGCTTTTCAGCCAGGGGCTCTTCGCCGACATCAGCCTGTTGGTGGCCAGACCAGCCTGGAACGACTGCTGGGCGAGACGATCCTGCGGGTGGGGGGGCGGCATCCTGGTGGTACCCGATGGGTCTTTCGTCTTCACCGACGGTTCGTGCCTGAACGGTGATTTCCCGCACGTCAGGAGCGCGGGCTGGGCGGTCATCGTGTGCGGTCCAGAGGGGAGGCTCATCGCCGAGGCGTGGGGCGCAGTGCCCCCCAGCGACCTCCCCTCGCAGACGGCCAAGGCGGGCGAGGACTACGCTGCCGCCATCGGCCTCGCCGACATCATCGGGAACTACACGCTGCTCAGCGACTGCCTGAGCACGGTTAAGGCTGCGTCTAACCTGGCCAAGGCCTGCGGCCCCAGCTCCCTACACGCCCACGTTTGGGCCAGGGTAGGCGATGCGGCGGAAGGCGTCACCATGCGCCACGTGCCCGCCCACCGCACTGAGGCCGCGGTGCAGGACGGGGATCTCGCCCTCTTCGAGCTAGTGGGCAACAGGCGCGCCGACACCAGGGCAAAGGAAGGAGCGGCTCTTCACGCCATCGCGGAGCAGGACGCCCTGATGTTGGAGGGCTGCCTGGCTCGGGCGAAGGAGGTGGCCAGGTGCGCGGCGGCCCTCGAGGTGCACATCACCGAGTCGGGGCTCAGAGACTCCTGGCCGCTCACCTCCCTGGACCTCGTGGACCTGGACCCCTACGCCCCGTCGCCCGCCCTGGGGCTGCTGTTGGAAGCTGAAGAGTCGACTGCTCGTGGCCCCGGCGGCATGGCGGCCCTGGGGGCGGCAGCAGCGCTGGCGACGGCAGCGGCGGCCAGACAGGGAGCCCAGTCCCAGGACCAGGCTGACTCGGAGGACTACAAGAGGAAGGGAGCGGACGAGGGGCCAGTCGGGCCCAGTGAGCCAGTCGCTGATGAGTCGAGCGCGTCGGCGGCTTTGCTTCGTGCGGTCCAGCGTCGCCGCGCAGAGAAGGCGGCGAGGACAGCACCCTCAGCCGCGGGCGCACAGTGCCGCCCGCCCGTGTCGGCGGTGTCGCAGCCCCCTCCCCCTCCTTCCTCTGCGGCCTCTCCTTCTTCTGCGGCCGCAGTCCTTCCGCCGCGTGCTCTCTCGGGCCCTCCAGGCCAGAGGAGGACCCCAGGGCACCTTTTGGAGACCCCTGACTCGGGCCAAAGGTCGAGGGTCTCCGTTTCGTGTGTTTCGCGTGATGGCCTGTCCCAGGTCGACCCTGGCGAATCGGGAGTCTGGGAGGTCAACGGCCACCGTCTTCGCGAATCGCGAGTTTCTGGCGGAGACGGCCCTGAGTTTTTGGTGTGTGTGTGGCGTGCTGGATGTATTGCCTGAAGCCCCAGTATTGCCACAGGGGCCTGGCCAAGGCCTGCAGCGGGGCCCAGCGCGCTGACGACCCCAGGGCCAAAAAGGGCTCCAGGGCGCAGGCGCGCAACGATTTCGCGAAGTCGATCCTGCCTGGGAAATCCAAGCAGCCGATCGACCAGCTGGCGCGGCCCACAGCGGCCACCCGTGCCAGGTGGGCCGAGGCGCTAGGCTCGGTCGCGGGCCCTGGGGGCGTGGGGGACTCCGAGGCCCCTGCTGGCTCCAGAGCCCCAGCTGTGGAGCCCCCAGTGCTGCGGGATCGGGCACCTGCCCCGCCTGCCCCTGGGAGGCTGTTTCGCCCAGGGCTCGAGGGAGCCCTGAGCTCCTTCGGCTTTGCCTGCGCGGCTGACGCACAGGAGCGAGGCAGGGTCGCCAGGGCGGCCAGGTCGGCGGACCCCAGGCCAGTGGTCGGTCTGAGCGCGGAGTGACGGTCGCGCTTCGGGGTCTGGGCCTGGGCGGCTGCGGGCCCGTGCAAGCTCTGTTTGCGGGGCCGTGAGACGGCGTCCGAATTTGTTTGTGCATGACAAGCCCCAGGGTGATAGGATAAAAAAAATGCTCTCACCGTGCCGGGATGGCCCCGAAGGTGGGCCGAGATGGCACCCGAGCCAGTCAACCCCAACAGGCCCGACGGGGCTTGTGCATGCCTTCAGAGGCCACAGCGGGCGCCAGCGTTCGCTTGAGAGCGCCCCCGTATGCCCCCGAGACGCCCCCACCTCCTCGCCACCACCTCTTCCTGCCTCTCGTCGCTCCCCTGTGCGTGCCTCGCGCGCTTCCTAGTTATGTTTCCTTGCGTTTTTTTGGGGGGCTAACCGCCCTTTTTCTTTCGGCCCCCCACGTGTGTCCCCCCCCGTTCCCCCGATCCGCTGTCTCATTTTATGAACCTAGGCGCGCGTGTGACACACACAGACACACACGCACACAGACATAGAGACACACACACACACCCAGAGACACCCAGACACATACAGGCACACACATAGACACACACACAGACACAGACAGAGACACACAGAGACACACACAGACACACAGAGACACACACACAGACACACACAGACTTACACACATACACGCGCAGACACAGACAAACACACACACACACAGACACACAGACACACACAGACACACATAGATACACAGACATACACAGGTACACACAGACACTCAGAGACACGCGCAGACACGCACAAACACACAGAGACACACAGAGAGACCCTGAGACACAGAGACGCACATATATACACAGAGATACACAGAAGCACACAGAAACACAGAGACACACTTTGACACACACAGACACACAGAGACACACCGACACACAGAGACACACAGAGACACACACAGACACACACACACAGACACACACAGGCACACACAGACACACTCAGTCACACACACAGACACACACAGACACACAGACACACACACACAAACAGGCACACACAGACACACGACATAGACACATAGGCACACACGCACAGACACGCACAGACTCACACGCACACGCACGCACACACACGCACACACACACACACACACACGCACATTTACGCACGCTCGCGCACGCACACGCACGCACACGCACGCACACGCACGCACGCACACACACACACACGCACACACACATGCACACACACGCACACACAGCCCCCCTTGGCACCAGGCTGAGGGGCCTAGGGTGGGGCGCGGCCTCGAGGGGGCCCTTTCGCTCTGCACCCTGGGGAGTTCGGCGGGGGCGCTGCCCGCGGCTCGGCTCCGCACAGGCTCGGCAGGCGATGACCTTCGCTCGAGAACCCAGCGCACGGGCCTGGCGAGGTGTAGACGCCCCAGGCACCAAGGCACCAAAGCACCAAAACACACACGCACACACATTCACACACAGCACACACACACACACGCACGCACATATTCACACACACACACACGCACACGCACACGCACGCACACACAGGCATGCACAGACACACACACAGGCACACAGACACACAGGCACACACAGGCACACACGCACAGACACGCACAGACTCACACGCACACGCACACACGCACACACACGCGCACGTTCACTCACGTTCACGCACGCACACGCACGCACACGCACGCTCACGCACGCGCACACACTCACGCACACTCACGCACACACACACACGCACACACGTGCACAAACACACACACACACACACACTCACATACACACATTCACACATTCACACACATGCACATTACACACACCCACACACCCACACACACACACTCATACACACGCACACACATTCGCACACGCACACGCACACACAGACATACACCTTGGCTTTGCTGCCACGCGCGCAGCAACATAGAGGAATCAGGCGTGCTGGAGCAGCGGAATGGTTCCTTTGAAGGACCCTGCGGCGGCCGCGTCCAGGCAATCAGAAGGCCCAGAAGGGGACTCGGAGGGCTCAACCACAGGACACACACATGAATCCATCACTATGCAAGCATGTGCGTACTTGGTTGCAAAGCTACAGAGGCTGCAACATGTTTTTTTCGTGCAGTGTGCTCCGACCGACCTCTTTACATATTCTATATGTTCGTGTATCAGTATATAGTTCGATATACATATATTGCGTCATAGGTGCCATGTGTTCTATACATGTATTACCAATGTGCCTGCGAGATGCACCAATCCTTTGCTGACCCATGTCAGGTTTAATTTCAGATAGCAAATTGATTATTTGACGTACGTGGTTTCCAGAAAGCTCTCGCAGCTCGCTCGCACTCGTTGATGGCCAGTCTTATGGGGCCCTTCCCATCATCGTCTCCCTCCCTCATTGTTGTGCGTCGCCGCGTCTATCTCTCTCTCTCTCTCTCTCTCCCTTGTTTACCGCGTTCTCTGTATCACCTTCGCTCTTTTTCTGTTGATTCTCTCTCTCTCTCTGTCTTGCTCCCTCTCTCCCCACGCTCACAACACAGACTAAACTGCCCAGGCGAGCATCCCATGCCCAGCCCCTGCTCTCCCCTCCTCGTTGTTCTTGTGCTTCTTTCTCTTCGTCGTCGTCCCCCTCCTCCTTCTCCCTTAGGATCAGTAATCCAGACCTCTGGAGAACCGCTCGAAACTCCGTAAATCCCGTGACCCAGCAACAACCCACTAATGATTCTCTTTAACCTGAGTTCTTCCTCTTCCCCCCTCCTTCCTCCCTTTCTCCTCTTTCTTTCCTCCTCCTCCCTCTCCTCCTCCTCCCTGTGATCGAGGATGTCATACGGCCAGTTTGGGATCGAGGTGACTTTTGTCCCAGAGGTGATCCGGTACTCGAGGGACCGGATCGCCTACACGTCCCGCAAGGAGACGAGGGATAGGATGGATGCAGAGAGCGGGGGAGGGAGGAAGAGAAGAGTTGGAGGAGGAGGCGGAGGAGGAGGAGGAGGAGGAGGAAGATGAGGGGGAGGGAGGACGAGGAGGGAGGAGGGAAAGTGGGAGGGAGGAATGGGAGAGAGGAGGGCGGAGGAGCGAGGAGAAATGACGAGGACTGAGCTAGGGTGGGAGGGTGGGAGGGCCGCGCTTAAGGGAATGGAGGGAGGGGGGGAGGGAGGGATGATAGTTATAATGATGGCGAGTGTGGGGGAGGAGGAGGAACACTCTATACTGATCAGAGTAATAATAACAATACTCGTACTCCTACCACGACTGCTACTAGTACGAGTCATGCTCATCTATCTGTGTATAGATGTATGTAGGTATTTATATATCTACATATGTACATGTCTATGTCTGCATATCTATATAGGGATATGTATATGCATATATATATATATATATATATATGTATGTACACATTCACACAGGTATACATATATGTGAGTATTGAAAGGAATAACCAGACTACGGAAACCATGTTACTGATAATGAGAGGGAGAAGCCGAGGGGGGAATAGCTGGACAAGTTTGATGTCAAGGAGGTGCAGGACGAAGTGGGGGAGTGGGAGTATTTTGGGATGGAGTTGGGGAAGGAGCAGGGGCTGGGCAACTGGAACCTGGTGCCCCAGGGCCGTTCCCTGGCACTTTTAGAAGTTTGGCTGTCTGAGTGCTTTCCACCTCCGAGGGCCCTGTCAGGGATCCCTCTGGCCTCTCGGCGGTTTCGAGGGGCCTCGTGGGGACTCCTGGGACGTGTTGAGGTCTTTGCAGGATCTTTGGGCCACCTTTTGGCCCTTCCTGGGGAACCTTGCGGTCATCCTGGTGCGGTCTTGGGCCACCTCGGTGCCGAAGGGCGCCAGAGAGCAACACGACGGAGCGCGATCTGTTACGACGTTGTCCTCGCCAGGTGGGGCCGGGCGCCCCTTCTTCTGAAGACGAGGGGGAACCCTGCCAGGCCGCCGACATCGTGCAGCGTGTCGCGCCCCGACGTGCCGTTGGCACGGATTCACACTCGAGTTTTGGTGATGGGCACCAAGCTACATGTCTTATGTGTGAAGCGCGCCAGGCAATAAACAAGCGCCGCCCTGGGACGCGCGATGGGAGTCCTCGCCTTCCTTCCGCAGGCCATCTGCACCTATAGGGCCAGATAGGGGCATCGGGCGAGGGTGGGTGGATGGGGGGGATGAAGGGGAGGTGCGGAGAAGAGGGTGCTCTGGGAGAGAGGGTGTGGGCTGTGGCAGGAGGGGGGTGGCGGAGGAGTCAGACGGGGGCTGGGCAGGGGGGCTTGGGGGCCTGGGGGGGAGGGAGAGGCGGGCATGAGAGGGGGAGGGGGTGGAGGGAGCGGGGGGGGGGTAGTTGGAAAGAAGGACGGGGGGACGACAAGGAGTGGAGGGTGGCGGGACGCCTGCTGGAGGGGGGGGGGGCGGGCACCCCTCGAGTGCGCGTGCCGCTCGAGGGAGCGGGAGCGATGAGCGCTCCGCCTCCGCGGATGGGTTTGCCGTCACGGAGCGCCTCGGGTTATGAGAGGATTGGTGGTGTGGAGGGGGGTGGGCAGGAGAAGGGTGGTGATGAGATGATGATGCTGAGGCTGATGATGATGATGCTGATGATGATGTTGATGATGATGATGATGCTGATGCTGAGGATGATGACGATGATGATGTAGATGTTTATTATGATGCTGATGGCGGTGGTGGTGATGATGATGCTGATGCTGATGATAGTGACGCTGATGATGACGATGTTGATACCGATACGAATGATGATGATTATGGTGGTGATGCTGCTGATGACGATGATGATGGTGATGCTGATACTCATTGTGATGATGACGAGGCTGATGACGACTATGATGGTGATGCTGATACTGGTGATACTGCTGATGAGCATCACGATGACTGTGACGTCGATGCTCATACTGATGATGATGAGGGTAACGATGATGATGGGTATGGTGATGGTGGTTGTGTTGGTTCTGACGGTGATGATGATGGTTCTGATGACGGTTTCGATGATGACGACGATGATGAAGGTGAAATTGATTATGATGATGCTGATGCTGATGACGATGATGAAGACGCTGAGGACGATGCTGGTGAAGAGGAGACGCAGGAGGATTGTGAGGATGATGCAGGCGACCATTCTGTTTTTGACGACGATGATGGCGACCATGAGGAGACTGTTGCTGATAATGATGATGCTGATTCTGATGATGATGCCGTTTTTGTTGATGATGCTGAGTCGGCGGTGGGTTGGTGATAATGGTAGTGACGATGCTGCTGATGAGGATTATGCTGCTTATGATAATGACCATGATGATGTGGTGGTGCTGGTATCGGCGAGTCTGAGTATAATGCAACTGCTGGTGATGATGGTTTTGGTCATGATGATGACGCTGCTGCCGTTGGTGATGTTGATGATGCGGATGATGCTCATGAGCATGACGATGATAATGGTGATTATAGTGATGATGATGAAGAAACGCATGATGATGCTGAGGATGCTGATGATGATGATGATGATGATGCTGATGATGATGATGATGATGATGAGGATGATGATGATGATGATGATGATGATGATGATGATGCTGATGGGTGTGGTGTTGGTGTTGGTGGTGGTGGTGACGATGATGACTATAATATCGAATATGGTGGCGATGACGACGACTCATATTCTTATGTTAATGGTAGCGGTCAGGATGATGGCTGCAGCGCGCAAAGCGCATCTTAGCATTCCTACGAACAGAGTTGGTGACCGAAAAGTTGGTGACCGAACAAGTTGGTGACCGAAACTGTGTCCGAAATTGTAACCGACAGAGTTGTGTGACCAAACTTGTGACCGACGTTGTACAGTGTTATGGTTTCGAGCCAAGAATGTCTGTCACACCCTGGCGCTTTCCGAAAACATCAGGCGCCAGTTACGGTCACACGGGCAGATTTTCGGGCATGGTTTCGGTCAGTACGCCCCCCTGATAAAACAACGAGGCTGCGTGAATGATGATGATGATGATGGTGATGATGATGCTGATGATGCTGATGATGATGATGATGATGATGATGATCCTCCTCCTCCGGAGGAGGAGGATTCTGATGAGGAGGCTGGGGAGGTTGTGGGCGGAGAAGGAGATTATGCTGATGATGCTGCTGATCATGATGCTAATGACGCTGCTGAGGATGACGACGATGATGCTGCTGCTTTTCATGATTAGGATGATGCTGATGATAATGAGGAGGATGATGACGATGATGGTGATGATGATTAGGAGGATGATGACGATGAGGATGCTCATGATAATGAGGAGGATGATGACGATGGTGATGATGATGAGGAGAAGGAGGGTAATGATACTGAGGCTGATGCTGATGGCGATGATGATTTGAGGTTGACAATTATTATGATGATGCTAGGGCTTCTGGTGATGATGATGCGATGGTAATGATGCTGATGCTGCTGTTGCAGATGATGATGATGATGATCATGAAGAAGTTGAGTATGCTGATGATGATGACGAGGATGATGGTGAGGATGATAATGTTGCTGCTGCTGATGATGATGCTGATGATGATGGTGTTTGTGATGGTGGTGATTCTGATTAGATGCTGATGGTGATGATCCTTCTGACGACGATGATGATGCTGATGATGATGGTGATGCTGATGATGGTGATCATGACGATTATGATGATGAAGCTGATGCTGATGCTGATGCTGATGCTGATGATGATGCTGATGATCCTAATGATAATACTAGTGAGAATAAAACTGATGGTAATGATGATGATGTTGATGATGATGACGACGATGATGATGATGATGATGATGATGATGATGATACTGATGATGTTGATGATGATGCTGATGATGCTGCTGCTGATGATGATGATGAGGAGGAGGAGGAGGAGGAGGAGGAGGAGGAGGAGAAGGATGAGGAGGAAAACGGGGGGGAGGTGTAATCGGGACGACTGCTGAGGACCAAAGACAGCAAGAGTTGGAGGAGGATGAGGATGAAAAGGAGGATAAGGACGAGCAGAAGGATGACGAGGAGGACGACGAGGAGGAGGAGGAGGAGAAGGAGAAGGAGGAGAAGGAAGCCCGGGAGCCCCCAACCCCCACAGATGCCCTTTCCTTCGCTGTACAACGCGGCCAAGGAGTCGATGGAGGGGTACACGAGCCAGTACAGGCCGCTTCCCCCTCTTCACTCCTGCCCTCCCCTTCCCCCTGCTCGCTGCTGCCCTCCCTTCCCCAAGCTTCCTGTCGCTGCGCGAGCGCCGTGAAAGCGGGGGCGCGCGTGGCCGCAGCGCGGCCGTCCTGTGGGCGGCGCGCGCGAGTGGGCGAGGCGCGCGAGGCGCGGACCCGTGGCACCCTGCGGCGAGGCGCGTGTCCCCCCTGGGGCCCCTGGTCGCTGCAGGGTCCCCAGCGTTCGCCGCCCGGCTCGCGGCCCCCTGCTGAGAGAAGCCCACGCCCCCAGGGGTTTTCGCATGCCGCCCCGCCGGGGGACTCCATCCGTCCATCCGTCCTGGGAGGAGCCGGCGGCGCCCGGGCCCTTCCGGCCCGCACCTCCCCGGCGGAAGCCGTGGGCGCCATGCCCACCGCGTCTCGGGCCGCGCGGCCTCGCCGCCGCCCGGGCTGCGCTCCTCGCCGTGCGCTCGCCGTGCGCGCGAGCGGCTCTGCGCCGCCCCTCCTTGCCGCCTCTCTGCGGCAGGTGGCCCCCGCGCGGTGTCCCGCGGTCGCTGGATCGACGAAATGGTGTCGCCCAGCGTGGGTCCCGAGCAGTGATGTCTTGCAGTATGTGCGCTGCAGTCTGGGTGGTGCAGTCCGTGTGGTGCAAATCTATGTGGTTCAGAGCGACGCATTGCGCAGCAGTTCAATGCACACTCATACACCGGAGTGCAAAACAGCGCAGCGACATGCAATGCACAGCAATATAGGACATCGCAAAGCAGTACAAGGCGATGAACATCAATGCGACGCAACGCCAAGCAATGCAACACAATCCAAAGTGATGCAGTTCAGTGCCACGTAAAGCAAGGCAGTGCGACGCAATGCAAAGCAACGCAACATAATGTAAGGCAGTGCAACGCAATGCAGAACACTGCAAACAGCATCAATGCAATACGATGTAAACAACGCCAAGCGATGCACAGCAATGCTAAACAATGCAACGCAATGCAATTCAATGCAGTTCAGTGCACAGCACTGCGCACCAACGCGAATCAATGCAACAGCACTGCAACATCAATGCGAAGCATTTCAAAACCAATGCGACACAATGCAAATCAATGCAAACTGCTGCAAAACAAATGCAATGCAGACCAATGCAAACGAACTCAATGCAAAGGAACGCAAACACAATGCAACGCATTGCAACATAATGTACTAGCATAAAGCACTGCGAACTCGTCCAGAGCAGTGCAACAGCAGTGCAGCGCAACACAAAACAAAACGTAAGGCAAATCAAGGCAGCGCCATGTCACGCGATGGAAAACGATGCAGAGGCAAGCGAGGCAGCGCAAAGCAAGGCGAGGCGACGCGGCGACGGGCTGCGACGAGCCTGCTCGACCGCCACCGGGACCCAGCGGCGACGGCGGCGACGGGGGGCGACGGGCGGCGACGAGCTGGGCGCACCGCCGCCGGGGCCCAGCGGCGACGGCGGCGACTGGCGGCGACGAGCCGGCCGGACCGCCACGGGGACCCGGTGACCTGAGGACAGTAGCAGGAGCTCCGCAGTGCAAGCACTGTTTGGATAACAGTCGCATGCCCGTGAACTTTCGGAGTTCCGCACCGATCTTGGCGGCCGCACTTTCGGAGCGCTGGACCACCCTGGCGGCGCCTCTGGCGCCGCTCCTGGCGCGCTCCGCGCGCCAGGGAGGCGCTCAGGGCCGATCCAAGAAATCCAAGAAATACGTGTTTGGGCTGCTTATGCCGTCTTTATCTCGCTCCATTTCGGCAGGCGCCCTGTGGCCCCCAGGGATGTCTCGCGACCGCCCAAGTATGAACGACCCACGCGGTGTCACGGCACGAACCTTGCCGCACATGAGTGCGTTGCTCGAGGAACAGGCAAAAACGCGAGAAACATATGTAGCCTTTCGGAGCGGCGCTGGGCTCCCCCCCCCTCCTGGCGGTGGTGGCGCTGGAGGCCCCGCCAGAACTGGTCCAGCGCCGATCCGAGAAATCCGCGCGGACCTCCGACAGTTTCTATCTCTGCGCGTTTTTTTCTAACTGATCGGGCCTCCTCTCGCCTGATTCGGGCGAGGAGAACTATGCACATACACCGATCCTGGCCAGGCCCATACTGGGCCCAGGATCGGTGTACAGACCTCTCTGGCCAAGCCACGAAGGCGTAATTATGCACCGATCGCGGGCTTTGGCCAGAGTCGGTGTGTGTGTGTGTGTGTGTGTGTGTGTGTGTGTGTGTGCATGGTTCTATTTCCTCGCTTGGTGCGATGTTGGGCCTTCGGGCCTCCGCAGGTTTGACGACTACGACCTCGTCTTCGTGATCGCGCCACAGGAGCGGCCCCCCGCCGCCCGCGCAACGCGCCCTGCGAGAGCGTACTGCAGTGTCCCCGCGGGCTGGGCTGGTCGGCCTTGTCAATGCTGCACTGCCAGGAGGGCAAGGGCAGGGGGAGAGTAGGAGGAGTAGGAGGAGGAGGAGGAGGAGGCGGAGGAGGAGGAGGAGGAGGAGGAGGAGGAAGAGAAGGAGGAGGAGGAGCAGGAGTAGGAGGCGGAGGAGGAGGAGATGGAGCAGGAGGAGGAGGAGGCGGAGGAGTTGGAGGAGGCGGTGGAGGAGGAGGAGGAGGAGGAAGGAGGAATGAGGACGGCGGAATGAGGAAGCAGGAAGGAGGAAGGAGGAAAGAGGAAGCAGGAAGGAGGGAGGAGGACGAAGGAAGGAGGAATGAGGAAGGAGGAAGGAAGGGAGTAAGGAAGGAGGAGGAGGACGAGGGGAAGGAGGAGGGACGGAGGAGGGATACGAGACTGACGACGATGATGATGATGATGATGATGATGATGATGATGATGATGATGATGATGATGATGATGCTGATGACGATGATTCGGATGCTGATGCTGCTGATGATTATGATGCTTCTACCGCTGAGGATGCTGCCGATTACGATACTGATGATGATGATGATCACGATGATGATGCTGATGATGATGAGGATGAGGATAATGATGATACTGATGATGATGGTGCTGATGATGCTGCTGATGAGTCTTATACTGATTATGCTGATGATGCTGATGATGATGCTGATACAGACGCTAATGATGATGATGATGCTGGTACTGATGCTGATGATGCTGCTGATGATGATGCTACTGATACTGCTGATG